CCCCCCCCCCCTAGGTATGCGTGCTTCCCAAGTAGGGGCTCGTGAAAGTTTTTTACGGGTAAGTTGCTAACTCGAGAAAGTGAAAAGCTGTAAAGCTGTAATTTTAAGGGAATGTTCCCGACCCATGTAGAACTTAGTGACATCAAGCTCTGCCCTCAGTTGTGTATGGTTCTCACGTATGGGCCAGTGAAAGTTCTTTGCGGGTGACTTGTCAACTTGGGAACCAGGAAAGCTAAAAAGTTAAGCTTATGGGGATGTCTCCTGACAGTCCTCTTGGCCTGTCTTAATTCTTTTAGCTAGAAGCATCGGTGGGGAAAATCGGTGCCGTTGGCAACAAAAGCCTGCGGGAAATTATGCAAAAAACGTATCTTCGCACCGTCAGTGGTGCGCTGGCCATTTATTTACATTTATCAATGTCGTATAATGTGTAATATTTTGTTACGTGTATTACGCTTAATATTCGCGTTACGTTTGATATTTTATCACTTGTTGATGAAGGTTATATTATCCAAGTTTGAGGGTATAAGGACGGTACGAGCCGACGGACCGAACTCACAGAATCGAAGAAAGCCGACAAACTGTGCTCGCCAAAACGAATTGAAAAAGGAGCCGACGAGCAGCACTCGCCATACAGTCAAAGGGCCGACTTGCCGCGTGCAATCGAGAAACTGGGCTTCCGCTACTACAGGCCACTCTGTCGGCCTAGAACTGCATTTAAGCAGTATAAATTCTTTGAAGCGGACAACCAGAAGAGCTATCGTGACCAGCAAAATCGATCGCCACGACACTGGTTGCTGTATTGAAAGTGGATAGCAAAAGGCGAACATACGATCACACACAGAAAAACTCTTACCAATATGCATTTTTATGCATTTTTGTAAATTTGTGCAAATACGGCGATTGAGATGCGCTTCAGGCTGGCGTTTTGCGCTATTTCGTGCTGCAGTGGGATCGTTTGGAGCCCCAGCGGTTGGAAATTGTGGTTTACTGGCTGTCGATGTTGAGAGTTAATTATGTAGCCATTTGGTGCATCATTACCGATGTCGGCTTTACTGACCTGACAGGCCAGGAATTGCTGGTGCACGAAAGAGATCTTACTGAGAGCATCAGTCACTCTTTTCAAGGGTTGTTTTGCTGCAGTGAAAAGTCGCTGGACTATGCGATCAACGATAGTGCAAATTTGCATAATCAGGGGAAGCATAGCCAGCATACATGATGTAGTGTTTCATGCAGGACCCCGAAATAAAATTTCTCATGCTAGCTGGATTTGATAGCCGAAATCTGACTAGCGTATTTGCAAGGAAATGTTGTGAGCGAGAACCAATTTTATAAATTGGTACCCCAGTTAGACAGGTAATCATCAACGTAAAAAATCACCATCCTAGCAAATGTTCAGAAAAAAAGGTTGCCTAGCAAGCAAAATTTGATGTAACCAAGCACAAGATATGAGCCACAGTTGCTAATTTTGTGCATGTGGCTTATACACATGAACAACAAATATCTTCGAAAAACTATCGCTGCCCACATATTCTAGCTTGCTATTAAATGGGTGCCAACATTGCTCCAACTGGAAATGTCGCCCACTCATGCACGAGATCTGGAGTTGTGTAGAAAATGATCTTCAGAATGATTTTCAAAATGATTTTTCCGCCAAAAATTTCGCATGTCCGTCATGAGAAGCGCGCTTACTTGGCGGCCGAATTTGAAATATTCAAATCGTACTTGGCCATAGAACATCTAACAGTTAAGCTTTCTAGCTTGGTTTCCGAATTAGTAGTTTCCCCACAAAAACTTTCACGCACTAGCGTGTGAGAACAAACGCATACCTTGGCTAACTTGAAAAAGCGTTACCGGTCAGTGACTGTCTTTCGCGAGTGGCAATTAGAAAAGTTGCAAAGAAATATTGCGTGTCTGCAGCGGAAACAATGAATCATAACTGAAGGACTATACAACATAGCACGATGACTTGGCATAATCACGTTTGACCACTGACTGTCAGTTCAGTAACAAGAGCTCCTCAGTGATAGTCCAACTGATATTAACTATTGTCAAAATGCAGGTAGTCACTATCCACTTCAGTAAAGTGGGTAGCGGTTATTAGCCTCTAAAATTTGCATTTTTACATGGACGCAGCAATATCCTCCGCACAGTTTTTATGCGTTTTTGCTGTGCAGCGCTATAGCGCTGCTACAGCCAGCAAAAACGCATATTGT